TGTATTAGGTAGGGCTGCTATGCCCCCCTGGTCTTAGTAGAGTGGCCTTATGTGTAGTAGGTGTCCTGTGGGGCTCAGTGGTGCAGTCTTCCTAGTCACCTGAGCCACGTGCTCCAGGTGTGTCCATTGTGTGGGTTGTGTGTGCCATCTTGTTGTAGTTGAGCCTTGGTTGCCATTGGCACATCAGTGGGAGGAATTGACCCTCAGGCTGTTTGGTTGCGAATACTGGCCATGACTACAGTGGAGGAGCTATTGTGCAGGGGCTGACCTTATAGAGCAGGATTCGCTTTAGCAGGGCTCTGATACCTGCCTGGTCTGCCCTTTTGATATGTTGTTCCCAGAGGTGGCTGAGTGATGCTCTACCTTAGTCAGAAGCTGGCCACCAGGTGTACCAGCCCTGGGGCCTCCAGGCAGGAGACCTACTGCAGGCCAAGTTCAGCTGCAGCCTGTGTCCTGCCTGGGGCAACCTGACATGAGCTACAAAGCAATCCACAGATGGCCACCACCCACACTAGGCTTGGAGGTACCTAGAGAGGCCATGCCACGAACCAAGGCCGGTTGTTCCTAGGGCTAGGGCTGCTCAGCCAGAAGTACAGGACATGCTGAAGCCAGCTGCTGCTTTTTGGGGTTTTGTGAACCTTTGATAAATTTAGGAATTTCTGCAGTATGAGCCAAGACAAGCCATTTATACAAAAAAGCCACTGGAAGTGCCTTTAGGGGGCCCGCAAGTTGGGTGGGGCAGGGTGTCAGGGAATCAGAGCAAAGGAATGGTGTTAGCCAGGTTGATGGAGCCTCAGACATGATGGCCACCTGCATCTGCACTCTGGGAGCGGGGAGGGCTCAACAAAAAAACAGTGTCTTCCACCAGCTTCTCCTCTCTACCCATCACCCTAAAGCCAGACAATTAAATTCCCCCCTGTATGTCCCTGGTACCTTTTGAGCTGCTGTCCCAGCACTGGAGCTCAGACTGAGTGAGTCCATCAGCGAGTGAGTCGGTGCATGGGCCCTTTAAGAGGAGTTTTTGGGAGTGCAGCCTCCCTCTGGCTCACTCAGCCACAATCTCCACTGGTTTTCACAGCCAGAAGTTATGGGAACTTCTCTGCCTGACTCCGAAACCCTGGACTGGGAAGCCTGGTGTGGGGCTGAGCCCCCTCGCTCCTCTAGGGGGGTGTCTGTCCGCAATGGAGTTATCCCTTCCAATTCTTAGTGGTCATACATGGGTGTGGGACCAGCCCATTCTGTATCTCTGCCCCTCCTGCCAGTCTTGAGGTGGCTTCCTCTGTATTTCCTTAGTTGTAGGGCTTCAGTTCAGCTAGACTTCAGGCTATTCTCATTGATGGTTGTTCTGTAGTTTAGTTGTAATTTTGATATGGTCGTGAGAGGAAGTATGCATAGCATTTACCTACTCCTCTATCTTGACCAGATCTCTAGTAGATTAAAATATTTGCTCACCATTCTGTAAATCAAAAATTTGGGATGGGAGATCTCATGTGGTCTCTCATGCTAGTCACTCATGTCTATAGTTATCTGGTGACTGGAAAGTGGCCAGTCAGTCTAAAAACAATCACTTACATCATTTGGGGTTAGTTGCTAGCTGAGCAGCATGTCTCTTAGGCTTTCCTGGACTTCTTCCCATGGTGGCTAGGTTCCCAAAACATCCAGAGACATTATTTATGGGGGTGATCTTTACAATAGCAGTGTACCATAAATGGGTATTTGGAAGTCAGAGTAAATAGGTTCCACTTCAGGTGTTGGAGTTCTGCAGTTATCTCCCCAGGGATTTTGTCACACAGAATGCAGCTTACACAGTGTTCCACAATATTTCCAACTCAGAGGAGTGACACCTCCACCAGCAAATCTGTGTAATCCCTTTTTCATTTAAGAGGAACAGAATCTCAAATATAAATTCCTTTCAAATGCTTGTATATCATCTGTTGCTCCCTTACTTTGGGAGGTAGATATGCGTTGGGTTCTGATGTCCATGTCACTTTTCCATTTTCTCTGAATGGGCACTCCAGAGAATGAGCTGAAAAACTCAAAGACTGATGGAGTTTAACTAGGGTAAGTTGTCCCCATTCCACATTTAATAAAAAAGTGGTATTATGCAGGTATGTAGATAAGCTAATCACCTGACCTAATCAGCAATGCAGATTTTTAAAAGCCTTTCTAATTACTTCCTTAGCTTGGCTGAAAGTATGGGTAAAAGGAGTTTCTCAGCATGATGGTAGCAGATGTATTTCATAATATTGATTGAAAATATTGGAAAGAAATCCACAATTATACTGTTCCTGAAAAGTACATCAAAAAAGATGTCATATTTAACATATTTTAAACTTTCATTGAGATATAAACATAACATAATTTAGATTATCGACTCTCCCACACCAGTATTTGGAGTCTTTCGAACAGCTAGACTTTAACTTTCAGAGTCAGATTGCTTATTGGTTGACTGCCTGCATCTTCCTTGAGGTGCATCACTTACCTATGAGAGCTCTTTCTGTCTTGGGCACAGTGGGACCACCAGAGGATTCCCTTTTCTTTAGCTATTTGTTAATTTGGTATCTTGGCATAGGAGTCTTAGTAGTGCATGATGTTTCAACAACTTTAAATGTTAAATTGTTGACATTTACAGGCATATGTAACACCACACAATGTGTGATTTGGAAGCCTAGATAGATCTGTTGCTCATGTTCTTGGCTGAATTTGAATAGTTATGAATGATTGTTAAATGAATCATTCTATAACAGGATTGCCCAAAAGAAACCATATATGAATTCCTGGTTGAAATGTCTGTATCACCCCTGTGTCCTGTCCTACATGAGTGCTGGTGGTTCTTCTTTACCTTCTGTGAGCTGCTCAATATCTCTCCCTTACATTCTGTTTAACATAAGTTAGCCCAAGCCGGTTTCTGTGCAGCAATATGTGCCTTTGGAGTGACTGAATGCTTAAGTAGCTCTCTATTATCAGATGGTTGTGGAACTGGTTCCTTTCTTCTACGAAGAGCTTCTCCAACACCCCTCTCTAGGAAGTCTTCTCTAGAGGTCAGATGGAAAATAGTCTTTTTGCCCTTCTATGTGTGGTACAAAGAAAACGTTCAAAAACTCTTTAATGAGGATCATTACATAATTTCTGGCATTTAAAGAAGTGATTGCTGTATTTGAGGAATTGGCGAGAGCTGAGTCTTATGACAGTGGATTGTTTTATTTGAGGGCCAGAAAATATGGATAATCCAATATATGATTTAATTTCTTTGCTAGTGACTGAAACCAGAACATAGTTATGCAATGGAAAGTCACACAATGTAATACTTCTCTATATCCAGACTCTTAAATCTCTAGATTGGAGTTTCTCAACCTGGCACTAGTGACATTTTAGACTGGTTAACTTTTGTCATGGGGGACTGACTGTCCTATGTATTGTAGGACGTGTTAGGAGTATCATTGGCTTCTGATGCCAGTAACATCTCACTCCCCCAAGTTGTGACAAATCCGAATGTCTCCGACATTGCCAAATGTCCCTTGGGGGGCAAATTTGCCCTTGTTTGAGGATAACTGATTTAGGTTATTTGAGTTATTTTCCCTTTAATTTAAACTACTATTATCAAGCACTTTCACTGGTCAAAGTACATTATGTTTATACTTACAGGCAGAATGTATGGCAGATACACGAATGCATTAGGCTCAACAGATACAAGTTTCTTCCTAACCAAGTTCAGTTACAAATATGTTGAACTTTTCTGGTACAGTTTTTCTATGCATATTGTAAATGTGAGGTAGAATCATAAGAAGTTGTGTCTTTGTGGATAAAAAAAAAAAAATGGTGAAATACCAGGATTTCCCTGAAATTCTACCTAATGCATGATGCACAGTAAGCCAAAAAAAAAAAATATATATATATATATATATATATATATATATATACACACACACACACACACATATATATATATATATATTTGAGAAAAAAATTAAATTGTAAATGTACCTGGATATCATTGTAACCATGATTGTAAGTGAATTTGCTTTCCTTTGCAAGCAGTGGTGGTTTTAGAAATGTCATGTGGGCAGGTTTGAGGAGCAGCGATGTGTTGGAGCTGGCTGGGGTGGAAGTCATGCGTTTTAACAATGTGCAGCTTTTTAGAGTACTTTTCATTTAGAAGGCATGTGTATTTTTGCTTGAGGTGAGGACTGTTGGAAATCCTCAGCAGTGGCCTAAAGCTGTTCATAGAGAAGAGGAGGTGGAAATGAAATGTAACTTTTAAAAATGTACGTTAACATACAAAGTGCTGACTGTAATTCTTATTTGAAAGGATCTGATGGTCTGGTCAACAAGGGGCAGATCATTAGGCTATCTCTTGCTTTGGCCAAGTTTACAGTGGGAGGAGGATCATATCTGGAAATGCCTTTTATGAAAAATGAAATCAGGATGGAGACGAAGAGTACTTGTCAGCACATAAAAACACATAATTAACATGCTACTACTTCTGTCATTTTTCTATATTCAGATTTCCACTTACAGCAATAATGAACAACATGATAATCATTCACTGAATTATGAAAAATACCTAAATCTTTTGAGTCTTGTGAACCGTGTTCTTCTTAAGCTTATGACGAGGGTTGTAAGCAAGAGCAGTAAAATGGCCAGGACCCTGGCAGCAGGACCAAGGAGAAGCCCGAGTGTCCACCCGTAGCTCATGAGCTACCCAATCAGCTTCTGACCACTCGGCAGTTGGTAACGTCATGGATTTTAGAGTTGCTCTGTCATCATGCCCTGAAACTACTGAGAGTTGATGGAGGTTTTGTAAATCAGATGAACATGAGGAAAGAGTCAGTGAGCTCTCAGTACATAGCATACGTCACTTTCACTAATTCCTGGGATTTCTAGACAATTCCATGTGTGTGATATACACAGAGGAGACCTTCCATGCTTGATGTTGGTCCAGGACAAGGTTAACTGTCTGCACACTAATTTTAATTCATATATATGCCTTTTTTTCCCAGCACAAATGGACCCCCGAGGCCTATCTCCCAGACAAAGTAAAAGTGACAGTGATGATGATGACCTGCCAAATGTGACCTTAGATAGCGTTAATGAAACTGGATCTACGGCCCTTTCCATAGCCAGAGCAGTACAAGAGTAAGTATCACATTCTCAGGATGAAATAAGAATTGCCAAGGTGTTCAATGGATAATGGAAACAGCAGCATCTCCTGTTCCCCAGATATGTCATCCTAGCCCTGAGCTGGCACACGTGTCAGCATCTTTCCATTCAGCCTTATGTTCTTCGGGAGATTAGGAGGAAGCCTGGAGTGTTTTACGTAGCTGAAAATGTGTTCTAATTAGAAATAAGACTTCTGTGCCTCTCTTCTGATACCTCCTGCCCCTTCTCCTCAACTCTGGAGAAAAAAAAATGGTTCGTTTTGAATGTCACTATCCAATTATCATCATCATTGTTATTATTCATATACAACAGTCAAGAGAAATAAAATATAGCAAGTATTATTATCTTGTTTTGACAGGAAAGTACATTATATGATTTTTGGAAATTTCAAGTTTGAAGATAATATGTGGAAAAATCAGAATCATGTAGTTTTTGAAAGGATCTTTTCTCTCTCCTTTTATCTGGACCATAGGTTTAGATCTCAGCCCTTGTTTATTGAAAATAGCTGTGTTTCTGTCATTGTCAGTTCTGTATTTAGTCTTAAACCTATGGCTGATCCAACCATATTTTTTCTCTAGAACAATTTTTAATAACATAATCTTGAAGAAGAGGAGGATTTAAATAGGCACTGTTATTGCTGACACACACATTAATTAACAGTTTACTCAAAATGATCTTAGTTGTTTCCCGTGTATTTCTTTTCCCAAATATTGAATTGAATACCTACTCTGTTCCATGCATTAAGCCTTGAAATAAAAAACATTTTTATTAAAGTATAACATTTTAAAATTTAAAGCATATATGTGTGTGTGTGTAAAATGAGCAATATATCTCTCTGTAACATGTATTATATATTGATGTATATGTGTATACACACAAATATATATGATATATTAGAGGAAACCAGGATATAGTAGGTTTCCTAACCAGGAAACCTAAAATGAAATTTGGGATCAGATCTGGATTCAAATTGATATTCAAGCTCTTAATAGCTGTGTGACTTGGCAAGTTATTTAACTACTCTGAGGTGTTTCTTCATCTGTAGTAAGAAAATCAGAATACTTGGCTGTGTGAGGGTGTGATGCAGTTGCGAGGCATTAAAAGCAAATCATGAAGTTTGAGCACATGGACTTTTATGGTGGGAGTAGCATTATAATTAGTGGTAGTGGGAATAGCGATAGTGTGGGGCATACGTATATGACAACTAAAAAAGACAAATGTTGCAAGTTTCATTACTCATTGTACAAATGAAGATACCAAGGGTCAGGGAAGTTAAAGGACTTGTCCAAAGTCATATCATAAAGGATAACAAGACAAAGTTTGGTACTTCTCACTCCAAAAACCGATGTTTTTCTGCGAATGCCTGTAGTATCTGTTCCCAATAATATTCTTCTACTTGAACAGTTTATAAAAACATTTTTTTTTCAGATTTGTTGAAATAACTGGTTGTAGGAAGTTAATTTCTCTAAAGCAAATGTTAACTTGAACCAGGGTAGGCATTGAATCAGAGGGGTTGCTGAAATCATATTTAAAATGGTAGCATGCCAAGTCACCTCATCGCTAGTTCAGTGATCAGCCGCGTGATCATGGACTTGTATGAGCTGAAACTTAAGGTCAAGGATTCTGTGTTCTCCCTTGTAAAATCAGACTAAATAATGACAAGCTTTAATAGTGAGATAAATAGAGTTTCATAGACATTCCAATCACATTGTTTTTCTGCATTATATCTAGATAGAGAGATAGATGATAGATAGATAGATAGATAGATAGATAGATAGATAGATGTTAGATAGATGATAGATAGCTATAATGCAGAAAAACTATATATATATGTGTATATATATATATATATATTGGGTTGGAAAAGTCATGACGTATTTTTTCTGTTTTTCGTTGCATATATATATATATATAGATAGATATCTATATAGAGAGAGGGAGAGACAGATTAGATATATGTGTGTAGAGAGACTTTAGAGATGTGTTTCTTTTAATTCAAACTTTCAAGTTTTGAACTGTGATTACTAAAATCTAAATTATACTCACTCTATTTGGGGCTTATATAGCAAGTAATGGTATTAACTTCTTCAACATAACTATGTTTGGTGCTTTTAATATTATGTGCTTATAATATTATATGCTTATAATATAATACATATTAATGTGAAACTTTTAATAACCTCAGAAACCAGAGCCTTCATTGTCAACCATAACCTCTCTGATTTGCTTTGTGAAAACTCTTTAAAGCCACAATATTTTGTGTAGCTGTGCATATGCCTGTCTTTGTTACTATTACAAAAGTTGCATGTGTACCTAGGGAAATGCCAGATTCATTATTCATGTAAGTGTTTTCATTAAACGATTAGTAAAGAATACTGAGCTGTCACCTGGGAGGCCCTAGCATGCCAGGACCCATCAATAGTTAATTAACCATCATTCAAGATGGACTATGTGTGTAAACACTGCAGAGTGCAAAATTACTAGTAGATGGAGCAAAAAGAATGTTCTGTAGAGACCTCTTAAATACAGGTGTATTTCAAAATTTACAATAATATATTGAGAAAAGTTTTATGCTGGGACAAATAAATATGTAATCCTTGTTAGACAATTAGAAAATAAAAACTGTGCCTAAGTTTACCCAAAGTAACTTTCAACGTTCACAACTGTGAACAAGTCTTTCTGCTCTCCTATTCTTTAATGCATATCTCTGTTTCATTATTAATTTATCTTTCCTCTTTTTCTATTTGCCTTTGGATCTTGATGCCTTGTGTGAACTCCTAAGCTGTCAAACAGAAAAAAAAACCTCTAGTATACAAACAAAAAAATTGAATAATAAAAGGATAAAACATGAGCTTGGTTGGCATGGTGAAGATGAGAGGATTTCGAAAGACGTCGATTTTCTGCCTTTGCAGAACTTTCCTAAGAGAATTAGGTTGAGAAGAATGTTTGCAGGTAAAGAAAGAGGTGATGAAATCAAAGGCTTATCTACAGTAGAAGTAGCACCTTTTAAAAGACCTGGGCAACCAGTGTACTTTTGTCATTTCAGTTAATGACAAAAGGAGCCATGGTTTAGGAGGAGTTTAAAGGCTGGCCTCATTTCATTGGCCCGTAGTGGAGTGTTAAGGAAGAGAAGGGGGAAGATGAGAAAGGAGGATGTTAAGGAGGCTTGACACTAGAGAGGGATGACACTGCCTTGCTCTAGGCCAGCCCTTAGATCAAGATGCTAATCCACAGGCCACCTATCTCCAGCCGAAGCTCTCCTTTCCCATTCCGATTCGTAGCCTTGCCTCGTGCAATAATCATTATAGTTTGGATTTTTAAAATGGTGCTTATTTTATTAACATTGTCATATTTGTAAAGCATAAAACTTAATATGCTAATAAATGTTTTCTTAATATCTGATATGTATTTACTGGTTTTTAAAATGAACTTGTATTAAACCTTCAGTTTAAGAAATGTTTCCTTTGATTTGAAATGGCAGAAGTTGTTAGTCAAAATTGCATCCCCTGTCCCCTCAAATAGTCACATATTCCTACCATTCCATGAAAAAGAACATTGCTTGGTGGCTAGAGCAGCAACCTGAGGTCACCTCGATTTATATAGATTTATATAATGAGGCCACTAGGACTGATCATTTCAAGCATTTTCATTTTCACTTGATTTCCCATTTATCAGCTCAGCATCAGTGAATTCAGATAAATTGGAAGAACTGGCCACAGAGAGGCCCACAGACGGGCTCTCCCCTTTTCTTATTTCGTTGTACAGAGGGTGCCAAAACAATGTATACATATTTTAAGGAAGGAAAAAACGGTATTAAAATAGTAATACTCAATATATACTGATAACAGAAGATGAATACAAGTCATGTGTATACATTCTTTTGACGCCCCCAATATAGAGACTGTCCTGGTCAGACACCATGTATTCAGTAATTCTGACAAAGCCAACTTCCAGCCATTCATAGAACATCTGTTTTCTCTTGGTCTGTTTTTGTTTTTTTTTTGTTTTTTCCACCCCTGATGGTAAAATAGGGTCATTACCTTTAACAACCTGAAAAACATAATTATGAAATAAATGTTTGTGAAAAAGAGGTACAGGCACATGATTAGAGCCAATTATTATAATTAACTCTAACTCTAGGCAAAACAATCATATTTTTTAAATAGGTAAAGTCTGGCTTTGTTAGCCAGAGCCTCTAATTTCTGTACCTCTTTTTCTTCTTTTTTTTCTAATTCCAAACATTCATAATCCTCATTTGTTGGTGTGAGTAGAATAATCAACTTCCTTCAAGTTAAAGTGTAAATGAATCATGATATATGAAAGACAGCCCTCCTCAGAGAAATTTCTATTTAACCAGGAACAAGCCTTAAACCAGAAGAATAAGGCTCTAGATACAATACTTTCAGGAAGAGTGAAGGGGAAAGGGTAAGGGGAGGGGGGAAAGCAGATGAAGATGTTAAGGATGTGAACCTGTGTTTCCCAGTGTCCTTTCAGAATTGATGAGGGCACCAATGGTATTTAACTCACAACATATCTGAGTAATCTGCTCTCTGATTTTGATTATAACTCTCAGAGGGTAACAAACAACATAAATTAGTAGCGTTAGTCACTTTTTGCTTTGACTCGCATCGCTGATATTCGCATCTGTTAAAATGATTCCTTTAAATGGTTCATTGTCGATTACATTGAAGCTAATGCAACACTTCACTGTCTTCTTCCCCCTGTTTTAATTACTGCTGACCCTTGAACAACACAGGTTTAAACTGCTTGGGTTCACTTGTACATCAATTTCTTTCAATAAGTACTATAAATGTATTTTCTCTTCCTTATGATTTTCTTAATAACATTTTTTCTAGCTTACTTTATTGTAGGAATACAGTTTATAACACATATAACATATAAAACGTGTTAACTGACTATGTGGGATCGGTAAGGCTTCCCGTCAACAGTAGGCTGTTAGTAGTCAAGTTTTGGGG